CCCCAATTCTCTCTTGGAAGAAATCTTTAAAATATAATATATCTGTATTTTTAAAAGGCAAAAAAGGAGATTATGATAAATTCCGTCTTTTGTCTTTTCTTTTTTTTTTTTTTTTTTTGGTTTGCTTTTGTTGTCTTCTATATATAAAGTAAATTTGGAGGAAAACAAGAGACCACGAGTGGTTCTCTCGTTCCAAGACTTATATGTACAAAAAAAATCACCCATGGGTATATAAAATACGTACAGGAAAAAATAATACAATCCATCAGTTAATAAAAACTGATATCGTGTTTTTCCCGACAATAACGAAATTTTTACGAAAGAAAACAACCGTAAAGGAAAAAACGTGTATTGTGGAAGGGGGAACACAATAGAGTAAAGAAAAAAAACAGTAGAAATATAAAAGAGAAAAAATCAAAGTAAAAGAAAAAAAAAAGTATGTATAGAAGAAAGGAAAAAGTTGACGTTTAAAAGAGAAAATAGAAATATAAAATGTCTTAGCGATATCACAAGGGCCTAGAAAAAAAAGGGCTCCTTGGTGATATTAAGTCTATATAAGGTGTAGGAAGGTGGAGATTGAATATCCGGGTACGACAAGTTTTTCTTTTTTTTACAACGAGGGTTTTCTCCTACGGAGATGTTGGGACTTTTTGTTTTTGTGAATGCGGGTGCATTTAGTACCACCAACTCGTCGAAGACCGTGTCCATGATCCGACGAACTGTCTTCTGTAGGGAGGAAAAAACAACAATGTTATTATGATTAAATGAAAAGGAAAAAGACGTACGTGTGTGTTATACGTATGTTATACGTATGTTTGACGTATGTTTGACATATGTTTGACGTGTGTTTGCGTTTACTTACCGGTAGAATTCTCCTCGTAATTATAAGCATCCATTTGGTTCTGACGTTGTGGTGTGATGGCATTCCCATTAGTGAAATCGTTTTCTAGTAAATGCGGGAGATGACGTCTCCTCGCGTTTATAAACCAATTTGATATTTGTTGCAAATTGAGTTTAGTTTCTTTTGCCAAGGCGAGCTTTTCCTCCTCCGTAGGATAAGGATGTTTCTTGTGCTTGGCCAGCCAAGACTTTAACAAGGCGGTTGTGGTCTTTGGTAAATTACCGCGACGTCGTTTGGTAGGCCTGGGCACGGCAGCAGCTTCGCATGTGGATTCTGGACGATATAGAGACGGAGGGGATGCTGGAGATGCCGGAGACATTGACGAGACGGCTGGATTAAGGTAGGACTGTGAGAGGTGGAGGTGGTACTGACGACGGCACGCCGCTTCATATTTTTCATGTTCTAGCGAATAATTTTATGTAAGTTGATTTGCACATATACGCATATACGCATATAATTTATTTTTTCTTTGATCCATGTGTTTTTTGAAATATTTACCTCTTGTCGACTCGAATACCTTTCTCCAGAATTGACTATTCTCGTTCAGCATATCTTCGATACGCTTTTTGCTATCCTTTAGTTTCTTACTGTGTTGATCGCTTGTGTCGCTGTAATGTGTGGGCACGTCTGTTCGACGTTCATATTCGTGGAAAAGAATGACTGGGCTGAATACACGTAGCTAGAAAATGGTAATGATTAAAAAAATAATAAAATAGGTTAGAGATTGTATTCACGGGCATTTTGATCCGTTTACACATGTGTAATGCTAATTTGTAATTCCAGAGCTAAATCTTAATACTAGTACTAATTGTAATACTAATTGTAATTCTAATTGTAATCCTAATGCTAATCAAAATTCTAGGCTAATCGTAAATTTCCAAATCGTTGCCTAAATTCGATTATAGCAATCGCATGTCCATGACAATTAATGTTTGAATCCTCCCCGCCATCGGCCCAAGACATTGTTTCGCATATGCGACGGTTGAAATGCTGTTTCTCGAGCAAAGTTTTGTTTGATTTGAAAGTAAAGATTGACTTGCTTACCTTCCTCCTCGCGGCAGCATGTGATGAGTACATGGTTAGAATTAAGAGATTTGTAGTATTAACAAACGATAGAATGTAATGCGTATGTGAGTGGCAAGACAGAAGCTTCGCTTAATGTATAAGAGTCGTTAAGAAGGTGTTTATGTTGCTTTGAGGATGGGGAAGGTAGAAAAAAGGGCGAATATTGCGTAGAAAGTAAGGATGAGGAAACGGGAGAGGAGTTATAAGTATTGCCTCGTCCTGAGGAGATGACACTCAAAGAACTAAAAAGCGTAGAAAAAAATTCTCTGAGCGTAGCTTGAAAGTTTGGTGAAGAGATTAGTCGCTTAAAGAGACTGTGAGTTTTCGCCCTTAGAATTTATGTTTGTTGGAGGAAAAAAAAAAGTTCGAGTTTTGTAATTTATGTGAATACACTCAATTACAATATCAGTTGTTTAAAATGTGTTACGATGCTGCATGCTAATATAAATTATAATATATGTGATGCATTTCCATTATATTGTTGCATTTATATATGAATTGAATTGTAACACTGTTGCTGCATTATTCGAACTCTGAAAAAAAAAGAGAGAGACAAGAAAGAATAAGAATAATACGAAAATATGTATAATATTATAAACTTGTAATAGTATTTTTCCGTTGTTTCTCAATAGCCCAAAGACAATAAAGTAAATATATACATCGTAAGTAAAGTGTTGTTTATTTTGGTTTTTTTTTGTTGGCCCCAAAGACAAGGATAGTTACACGTAAGAATGAGCGAATCATCAGATATATATTCAATAGATACTGATGCAGATGTTGCATATAAATAGTTGTTTGTACAGTGTATACTGTATAATGTATAATGTATAATGTATAATAGCAAATATGTTACAACATACAATCATTACAACATACAATCATTTAAGTTTATACTGTACAATTTATATTACGTCGTTATTGTTATTTTATCATTGTCAAATGCGATCGGTATTTTTGATCATATGGAGCATAGTGTGTGGGTGTGAGAATTATGGGGAAAAAGTAATATGGGGTACGCCCATTTGCTCCTTTTTTTGTCATACATATAAATAAGTAAATAAATAATGAACATAGCTTATAATTATATGTGAGGAAAAAAAAAGAAGAGGCTATTCTATTCTATCGCTTTCCTTGTTCTTTAGTTTTGGAAGGGAACCTATTCTAAAACGTATAATAGGACATGAGACCAAAAAAAACAAACCGTTTTAATTGTCGAGTTTGATATACATTACTATTACTATTACTTGTGACTTTATTTATATTATATATAATAATCACAACTCTGCCCATCATGTTCATCATGTCCCCCGCATCATCGTCTAATGTGTCGTCATCAACAGTCGTCGTCATCTGCTATATCTTCTCGTCATTGCTGTCGTCACAGATTAGACTGCGGTCATTGGCTACTCGATTTCCTAGTATTTCTCTTTTGCACTGACCTGCTTTATTTACTAGATTTGTACAAACGATGATGCTATACATGTAATTCTTTATATTTATATTCATATATTGTTTATGTTTATAATCTCTATTTTCTTATTATTACTTTATTCGCTGCCACGTTATACCTCAAGGCACTGTTCACCTGGAATTACTAATGTCACGAACGTATAAACAATGGTACAAATCAAAAGAGAAAGGTGTCGGGGGGATGATGTCAAACAGCTGTCAATCCAAAGCAAATAGTAATTTAGAATTTAACATTACAAGAAATGTCGAAACTCTGTAAATCAGAGTGGTACAAATATAATGTGTTTAACTTAAATGCCATTAAGAAAGTTTATTAACAAACATCCCTTACATGGGGAGTGGATGAAAGGGTATAGGGTACTTTGGCTTGCTGTAAGCATATCATATTCACAGATCACAAAACAGATTAATTTTTTTTTTGAAATGGAAAAAGAAAGATTTTTACTCGATCATCATCTTGTGCGATTTTCATCCATTATCTTTAAAATGCTGTTGTCCAATCGATTTTATGGATAAATAATTCTATTAATTTATACTGTACTCCAAACAAAAAACAATGGCAAACAATACATCCATTCTCTCCACTTTTTTTTTTTTTTGACAGCGAGAATATAAATAACAAGTTTATGTCAATGACGTCAGTTTTAATAATGATATATATTTTATACTTGGTAGCCTTATGGCGTTAGAATTCCATATTTGTGTGTATACGGCCGTGTCACCTATAGATTATCTACAATTATATGTTACACACATGGTTAATGCTAATTAATACAGAAAGTTGCATACTAAATATAATCTTAATGCATTTGTATAATATATACTACTTATTATATTATAAATATATGCACACTTTTTTCTTTCCCCCCCTTTTTTTACCCCACCCGTTCATCCCCGCACTTATTCCCCTTCTTCTCCGCCCTCTCCTCTCCTCCACTCACGTCCCTCTGCTTCTTTTCTTTTTGTCTACTCTAAATAACGATGAATTGCTTTAATTGTGAAATGTCCAAAGACGATCTTTTAATCTTTTTGAGTCAAGCACACCTTTTTTTTTTTTTTACCTCTTGTTCATTTTATGTTATCTTCTTTAAGCCACTTTCCCATCACAAGATCAAGATATGCAAGTTTCGAATTAAGTTTCACATTGTCATTGTCACCGACCTTGGCAAATGTTTAGGGGCATGCAACATTACAGTGTTATTTCCATTTTTGATATAATTTATTCCTAGCGCAACGATTAGTGTAACGCTAGTGAAAATAGACTTGAATAAATAATTTTAATTGTTATGGACGTGCTGAAGGTTGTGTCTTGGTCAGTTTAGGAAGCATAATTAGTTTCCCCAATAAGTATCGTTACATCACTCGAGGGTGGTATTTTTCCGTAATACTATTATTGTTATTATTCCTTATGACTTGTTTGCATGATCGACCGAAAGCATTCTCAGCCACATTATGCACGAGCGGTTGTACTACTTTATGCTCTCCCCCGTTGTCCTTTATATGATATGAACTCCTGCTTATTTTCAAGGAGAAAGGGTTAGGTTAAGTTGGTTAAGTTGGATGTTAATTGGTCGAGTCGTTAAAGCCGAGTCTAGGTCGGTTTCATATCATAAACTATATCGTCAAAAGTGGTTGATGCTCTCTATCTGTTGGATCTATTCTTCGATCATGCTACCTATAGTTTTAACCATATTGACAATCACTAATTAATTATATGGTTAATGCTGCCAAATAGGTAATAATATAACGGTAGCAATATTGTTATCAATATACTTATCTGTTGATCCTACTAATAATAGCGCATCATTTATGCAGGGAAGAATATATATGCACGAGCTTAAATACATCATGCATATCTTGAAAAAAATTTTTTTTTTCCTCCAATCTATTATTCTAAATGATAGATGGCCCTTGACAATCTACATTATCTCTCAGATTGATATGCTTATGTTTAATAGTTACCAGATTACCATTGTTCATGAGCGAATAAACGAGGAAAGGGGGAGGCGGGGGAGGGCGACGGAGAAAGGGGGACCCTTCTACGGCGAACAACAGGTGATTAGCGAAAATCATTACAGAATTCCATTAGACAAAGCAAGTAAAAAATAATTAATTAATGCAAACGGCAGCGTCATCAGTTTGAGTTTGATGCAGTGTTTTATTTATTCGTATAAATAATTCTATTTTAACGGAAAATTTTTTACAACAAAGAATGCGGGGTTAAGGAAACACCAACTTGGACACATCCAGGGAATGAGAGGAAACAAGTACGATTAAATTGCATCGACCAGTTTCTAACATAAATAATAAACTCGGATCAACATACTAATTTGTATTGTATTGTCTCTTTTTCTTTTCTGTGAAAATGTTCCCCGCAATCTTTTACATTGCATTGTTCTTGCAATATAGTGTTTTTTGGTTATTAAAAGCCTTTTTAGTCTGTAGAACGAAGAGCGGTACTCCTGGTTTGGTAAACTGGTCAGTGAACTTGTCCGCTCGAATTGATTTCACCGAATTGGACAAGCGAAAAAGCAAGTTCAAATCTTTTTCATCACCTTTGTTACCGCAACGTACTATATGACTAATGTACTGTAGGTCCTTGACTTTACGATTCATTTTTTTTTTCAACCAGCTTATTCGTCCGCGTATGAAAGCAATTCCGGGCTTATAGTCCGGTTCATTGCACAACATTTTTATCGTTTTTGTCCCTCTCCCCCGCAGCTGATCATGTATGCGCTCTCTCTTGCAGGGCAGGAGAATATGTTGCTTCACATAATGCAGCTTATCCTACTTCCCCAGCTTTCTCGAGCATGAAAAGGTAATGCAAATCGCAAATCAGAAACAAGTTTCTTTCTTTTTTTTTCTCTTTAGCGGCGCTTGTGCATACATTTGCTTAGACTGAAATTAGAAAAGAACAAATAAATATAAATATAATTGATAAAACAGTAATATGTAACAATTATGCGGGCAAATTTTATCAGTTGCAGATGCTGCTGTGCAATACTTGTTTAACAATTATAATGGTTTTTTTTTCTCTCTTTTTTTTTTTATAATCGGAACTTGTGTAATTTATGATTGAAATGCAAAGATAAGATATGCGTACACTATCTGACCGACTAGTTGATTATATAATGCAAAGTTGAGGTATATAAAATATACACTAAATTAATTAACATGTAAATTGAAACTGGCTAGAGAACTGGTTGGCAAACTGGTTGACGGGGACATGCTGACTGGACGGCTGGACGACTGGCTGGCTGAATGGCTGGACGACTGGCTGGCTGGCTAGTTTGGACGTTATCAACAAAGCATTTACAATACAAAAGTACAATACATACAATACGTGCATATAAAGTCCCATACTCTTTTTTTTTCTTTTTTTTTTTTTTCCTCCAAAGCAAAAGTGACGTCATTCATTACTGCACATCGTACATTCACATACTCGGAAAAATAATCTGTGAAGATCATTGTTTGTGGGGGAGGCGAAGCAAAACGGTAAGTTAAGTGAGAACAGGGAGGAGGCGACAGTTGTTAGTGGTGTAATATACGAATTGATGGAGTACAGTATAGCATTAGAGTTGATATGGCAAACGTGTTAAACAAATAGTTAGGTCAACGTGGACAGTTAATGTTTATATGATGAGGTGCGCAGTAATAAAGTATACAGATGGAGTGTGAATGAGGGGATTGTATTAGTATTGCATCAGTATTGCATTGGTATTGTATTGATATTGTATTGGTATGTATTTGTATTGTATTTGTATTGTATTGATATTGTGTGCGTATTGTGTACGTACGTACGTACGTAAGTATGTATGTGCGTGCGTGCGTGTGCTCTGTTGTCTGTTGTTGTGCGTATTGTGTGTATGTGCGTTGTGTATGAAAATGGATGACGTTGTATATGTGATATGTGTCTTGAGGATTCTTTTAATAGATTTATTTAGATATCAAAAAAGCTATACTGCGGTACATCTTTGCCATCACGGGGAATCTCTTAATAATCACTTAAAATCAATTATACAATATATTGTATATCACACAATAACGACAACAATATCATTGTTTGTTATATGTCATACATGATTTTATTGCATTATTATTCTCATTTGCCAATTGTTATCATCATTGTTGTTATTTAGTGTAGCAATTTTGACAGTTTTGACAGCAAAAAAAACATTAGGCACGATTAATTGTTGGGTTAAGAGGGCGTCTGATAAAAAAAAACTGTTGGCGTACAACCAAAGAAACGAAAAAAAGCCCCGAATAAAAATAATAAAATAAAACTTTATATTATGATCGATGTTATTCTAATTCTATAGTTTATATTCCACCTTTGGTCTAGGCTCGGTCTTACAATGGGACGCCCAGTTCACAGGAAATCCTTTTTTTTTTCTCTCTCTCCACACTTACCACTGTCAAAACGCTCGAACCTCCTCCACTCTACGCTCTCCACCCCCTTTTTTCCCTCACATCACACACATATACAACACACAAAGACCGATTGTATATGTCTTTCCCCACACCTTTGTAGATCTCTCTCGAATAGAAATTAAAATACGCTACCTAAACCCATAAGGACAAGAGATCAATAAAAAAAAAGGGAATAATGAAAAAGAATGCAAAAGCGATCATCAATAAGAATTTTATTATTTACTTCACACGCCCCATTTTTAGTGCTGGGATGTGGTGGGTTTTCTTTTTCTTTTTCCTTTTTCCTTTTTTTTTTTCCCTTCTTTCTTTCTTTCCTTCCTTTTCTTTTCATAACTTGCATAATTTTTTTTAGAGATGAGATGTGAGACGCTTTTCGTGTACCCCCACATCTTTTTTTCTTGCATGCCATTATAGTGTATACGTCGGGCGTCATCTTGTCAATTTAAAGTAATCAATCATTAATTGTTAAAATCTGACAATGTGTTGTTTACTGTATTCTTTTTTGTATCATATCAAACGTAAACAACCTTATGCCCAAGCCTTGACAAATTTACCATAAACGGTCATATCAAAACTTACTTTAACCCCACGAAAATTTTACAGCTACACAGGAAAAAAAAAAAAGCCAAATACAAAGCAAACTAAAAGAATTTCCCGTTGCATTAGGATGATTATTTTACAAGTCATATGACAACCGTCGTCCTAATAATACCATTAGTGGCTAAGTCTCCATATTATTCAATTATAGTATTCGTTTCGCTCTAAACTCATTCCCGTTAAGTGGAAATAACAGACTCTTTTTTTTTTTTTTTCTTCTTCTTCATAACAACGCCTCGTTTCGGAAAAAGAGAAGCCATTTTTTCTTTTGTTTATTCGTGGCTTACCTTTATCGCAAATCTCGATGGTCACATGATAAAAATTATGATGGTAAAAGAATTTTTTTTTGATGGTATGGCTGTGAAGTGCGTTTCAAAAATAACAGATTTCCCATCAACAATGTTAATATTATGTGATAAAGCCCTATCGCTTTCCTCAAGTCGCTTATGCCCCGCTTTTTTCCTTTTACCCTTCGCACTGCATTCTTGCGTCTCTTTCTTATTGTGCTCTCGATTGTTTCTTCCCAATCGTTGAGATGTCAATTGTCCTATCTGCAGTTCCTATTTACTAAATATGGTCCCCGCCCAATCGATTTATTCACACAAGAGAATAAGGAGTGAAATGAATCATTTGTTTGGAGTACGAGAGATATTGTGAAAACTGTGACATACAAAATATGAGGCAAACAACGTTTTCATTCACAGTAAAAAGCAAATATTGTTACGAGTAAACAAAAGGTTGTTATAGTAATAGATCATGTGATATGAAGATGCCAAATTTTTTTCCCTCCCCCTCCTACATGTTGCCCGCCTTTAACCATGAATTCGATCGATCGGATCGACCTCCCCCGCTTCTCCCAAAAAGACGTGTGCTGAAATACTCTATTTTTCTCAACAAATTCTAAATTCCAAACCCTCCCCTTCTATCCCTTTCTCTGCGCTGCCAATTTCTTTTCTAATTCCATGAGCGCTTTCAAACCCGGATCAACGTCATCTTGCGGCATATCCGATTGCTGTTTTGCAAGAATGGGTGGTAACGGTTTACCTTCACGTAAGAGGCGATCTCTTATGTCGTTTATCTTTGCCTTCCACTCTTCTACTTCTTCTTGATATATATCCAATACACTGTGGGAAACAAGTAATGAGCGCACTGGTCTTACATCGCAGCACAGCAAATGGAGCAATTGATGACAAAGGTATATATACTTGATCTATCTCGAACACATTAAATTGATTCATTGTCTTACCAATGTGCACATCCGCTGAATCACCATAAACCGGCCGACATTATAGCATTATCAGTAACATGTCTTACGTTGATTTCAGAAAGTAACTCTCCACCTACCTCATGCAACAATTATCGGGGAACTTGGGTTCTTCTGGTATTATTTCCCCGTCGACAGTGATGCATTCTTTGCTCTCTCTATTCTCGGACGGAGTGTCTATGACTATGGAAGTGGGAGCATGTTGCTGAGATTCTGCTTGAGATTCTGCTTGAGATGATGGTGACGATGGTGACGGTGACGATGACGACGACGACGACTGGTTGGCATGAATAATTAATCAGTTGGCTGATCAGTCTACTTATTGGTGATCGATATGTGATTATCCGAATTGGTTACCTGTTCTCGCTTTAGTGTTGAATATCCACCATATCGGTTATTGCCGTGAAAGTGACCAAGACGTCGCAGCCTGTATTCCCTCAGCATGGAATATCCTCTGTAATGACACCTACGTCGATGGTCGATTATAGCAACAGGTGATCTTCTAAAGAACATCTTTTTCGGGTGATAACCACCATGAGCTCTTTATACGTTTTCACAACAAAATTTAACAAAATTGTTTCAACATCTATTGTGTGACAGACAACTTTATGGTTTGTACCGATCACATGATTATAGTGACAGCACTATGACATAAGAAGCCATTGACTCGCAAGATAATGTCAAAAACGTACAAATAAATTTAACATTGTTTAATACAAAACTGGGAAGTGCTCTCCCAACTTGCAAACAAAATGAAGGTTGACATTTACTATATACGTCCATCGATAAGATTAGTAAGCAAAAACTTGTGACGCGTCAGGTGTCAAAGCATCTGCCAAGCTCTATAACAAATAAATCCGAGATCATTGCCTCATCAACCAATAATCATGTTTTGGTCCGCCAGTATATAATCACCTGTTCACTGTTACAAAAGTGCGGTTATTTGCAATTAAAATTAATGATCTTGGTAGTCAAATAGATTTATTCATAGATATGAGAAAATATTACGCACAAAAGCAGGGGGACTACTACTACTACTACCGCAACTAAAAACCGCTGAAAAATATGCATAAGATCGAAAATATTGTCTAGTGGATGTAACACGTGTGGGTATAAAAATAAAAGTTGCTACAATACTTGGTACACTATGGACACATCGTTATACGAAATAACGAGATTTAATAATTAAAATCGGTTGTAACCAGAAACTTTTAATGGGGGATTTTTGTGATGGCAAATTTCATCGTTGGCATTCCGGACATCATTATATCCGGACATCATTATATCGAGCTTTGACTGTAGATCCCATAGCGTTCATTTAATTTATGTAATATCTCCGGATCAAAATTATTAGTATAAACATTCCATTCTGGGCCTAGAGTTCGTTTGAATTCTGCTAAAATCTGTATTTGAAAGACGGGCAAGCAAATTAACGTTAATACACACACACACACACATATGGAATAAAAGTACGGCAAGCGTGCATGCAATCCCAATATACTTACATTACTGAAAGAAGCGTTCAATTCTGGTGATGGATTCTGCCAGCTACAAACTGCTTGGCAGAACTCGTAGAATGACTACATTACGAAAATCAATGCATTCAATATATGCGGATACTGAACAAATTTAGACTGGCATGAAATCTGTTATAATCAAACCTTGGCAATTCCAGGAGGATAAACTTTAATCATTTCTATAAGACCTTGGAAGGCAGTCTCCTTTTCTTCGTTGTCTCGAATTTGTTTTAGCACTCGGCATCTACAACATACGTAATATTAATCGTTTGTCTCTATTAATGTCGTAGTAAAACATCAAATGAATAAATAATATTTACAAGTCCTCGACGAAATGTTCCATTGACATGGCAAGCTGTGGACATGCTCTACCCAACCTTCCAGTTGTGATAGCAGCATTCTCTTGCAAAGTTCGTGATGTGTTCGTGTTCTTTAACAAAGGAATAAGGCGTTCTAACAGAGGATTGATATATGGTTCCATATCTGGACCTAATAACAAAGATGACATTGACAAAAATCAGCATAAACAGCATTCTCATGTCAACAATTACAATGTTCTTACACACTCACCAGCCTTTAGAGCGATTTCACCAGCTGCCCATGCTGCATTATTACATACGCTCACGTGATCAGCATGGGGATCAACTTGTTTGATTAACTCATTCATAAACTTGTCGAGGTGTGGTCGAATGTGATGGAAGCATGCAATAGCAAGATCACCGAGGAGCGCATAGGCTGATTGTCGTACATCGTCAACTGGGTCCTGAGTAGATTTTTTTTGATTCGTTCGTTATTCTTATTTTAACTTCGGGTAATTTAGAATGTCGAAGAATAGCAAGGAGGAAGGTGAGCAGGCGGAGTAGGTGATAGGTAGAGTGAGAAAAACACCATCCATGCACTTCAATGCATTATGTTCTTACATATCCACTCTTATTGTACAATTTCATCCACGCCTTATATCCCCGTATCATCACCTTCAGTCTTCATATCACCTTTTGTATCCCCCTCCCTATTCTCCTCATTCCTCATTATGTTCACCATACTATATCATCAACACTACTTACGACTATACAGAATCCAAGCATGTTTATCAATGATGGGTTACTGTTTGCCACCAGCGGATCAATGTGACTACCAAGCCCTTGAGCTAACCCACTGAGTAAATCGAGTGCAACTATCATAAATTCTTTTTCTGGCAAATCGAGCGTTGGATTTTGCTGACATAACTGAGATTGGTACAAAGTGGACTCGATCAGTTTCAGACACCTCTCAAACACTGGAGGCGCATATTGTTCGAAGCCTAGTCCAAGAGCTGTCGTTACTGACGATAAGCACTGCGAAATGGTGGAATGGAAAAGAATCGAAAATGTTAGAATTGTAATCGTCTGCCTTGATACTATATCATGTAAAATACTACACGTAAACGCTTTAAGATTATTCTATTGGACATTAGCATCGGTGATCGATCAAAATCACAAACTTACTTCCAAGAGAGGGAATAAATCTTTTTCATCATCCTTCAACGAATGCCACTTTTCAATGAGTGGCGGCATTAAAATATCAATGTACTCTTGCTTATTCAATGCAGATTCGACCGAATCAGCCAAGGTACCGATCGCGTCGTATAGAATTAGCAAATTCTTGTGCTGATATTTGGAGAATGCGAATACCAAATTACTCAAAATCGGGTTCAAGTACGGTATTAATTTTTCGCATGCTTCCTCTTCAAGAATGGCAAAAGCACTGCAAGCCGCTTCTTGGACCCGCTTATTATTGTCAAGTACTCTGCGTAAGAGCTATAAAAGCATTGAATGATTAATGGTAGGTATATAACACATAGATAAATAAAAGCAAAACGCATGCAAGTCTTTTCATCATACCCCATCAAGCAACGGTTCAAAGTATTTGTTCTCTTCGGGCGGAGGAGCATGAACGCACCATCGGCAATAACGGCCCAAAGTCCAGCACGTTATAGAACGAACAAGAGGCTAGAAAAGCAGTACAGATAACATGCAGCGTGATTATTGAATGAATATCGTTAGAGAAGGTTCTATGAAATCAATTTCACATTGTTGTGAGAGAAAACGTACCTTGGGATCATTGAGCGTTTGGATCAGATATGGAACCAGATTGGGTAAGTGTGGTGTAACACCATCCATGCACCCTTGAATTCGGTAACAAGAAACGTTATAATTAAACATCTGCATAATCACCAGTTGTATGCATTCCCCCTCCCATCACGTAAAACCACGCCTCTCGTAACTCACCTTCTGAAACAGCACCAAGAGCCAATATACCACATTCTCTGTGTTTCCAATCTTGATGAAACAGTTGCTCTCTTAAGAAAGGCAACAAAATCTCAAGAAGTTCATTTCCAAATACAGTTGACATCACATCCAAAGCAGCCGCTGAGCATTTTCTCAAATTCCATTCCGAATATATATCCTCGTCCAAATCGTCATCGTCGTCGTCGTCCTCTTCGTCACCCACTCTTGTTGCGCTTGGACCACCATCAGTCCCATTAGCATCAGCTGGACGATCGAAACCATGAAGCTTTGGACGATGGAAACGCGGTTTTATGTCCTGTTCGCTATCTGGGACATTGGAATCGTCTTCATCGCCACCAAGGGCTAAGAGATCCATCTCGCTGTAAACCATACCTTTAAGCAAGACGGGTACAATGCGAGGAAGGAAAGGTCGAAGAGCCTCAAGAAGATCTTGTTGTTCAGCAAATGCCAACCAGAATTCGCATGCTTCCAACGCCACTTGTTCATCAGAATCTTGAGTGGAATATAACATGTATTCGACCACGTTATTAATCTCTGGCATAAGCTTGTCGGGGCGAACTTCAAGTAACATCACCAGAGCCTGACAAACGTTCTTGCGAACTTCGGCGTTCTTGTCGGTTGCACATTTAAAAAGAGCGCTTACAAAGGCATCTATATGGATAAACAATGATTGAGAGCGCATCAGAATAAACTGGTTGATGCATGATATGGCGTAGACACGGAGCTTTGCATGTGGCGACTCGAAAAATGTAATAATTTTTGGAATCATGTAATTTAATGGGCGAGTGCCGTGAATTTCTTGGTCTAATTCGCGAGCCGAGTCTTCGCACACTTTTTGTAATGCACCAAATGAGCCCTGTAGTGCAGATGAACAGAACGAGGTGAGATACAAAGTTGATGAGAGAAAAAGTACTAAAATATTGAAATAAAATATAGACAATATATAATTATATAACTAAAATTATTTCGCTTCGTATAATAGCATAAAACTTGTAACGAAACAATTATTAAAAAAACGACATGAGATTTTGTTTCACACCTTTACTCTCAAAATTATCCAATTCAGTATAATGGCATCCAATCTGAACATACAACCCCACAACCCCTTAACATTTCTCATCACCAACCAACCTCAACTGTATTGTAATCCTCAGAATCCAACAAACTTATCAAAGTAGGCAGCAATTCCGGCCACGACTCAAAACCGCCTCTTGAAACGATCGTCGTAATGTCATTTCCTACAATACTTCTAATCATTGGATCCGGATCGCTCAGTCCTTTTATTAATAATGTTTTCACGTATAAAAATGTTTCCGGTAACAGATTCGGAAACATGTGACGGATATTGTTTTTAAGTAGTAGCCCGGCGATAGCACGAGTCGAAGTATCTTCTTGTCGTACTTGAGTGAGTATATAGACCAAGCATTTTGGATAGTCGGGTACTTTGTTGTAGCCTTCAAGTCTCTATTTTTTGAAAAGAAAAGCATCGACTGGTGAAGGATAAATACGACAATCGGGCATTGATTTATTTAGAGATGTTAATTAGGAGAAGACGATTGTGTAATACGCAACATGGGAAGATAGATCAGGGAGACAAAACTGCGGGTCTATAGAATAACGCGCTTGATAGCAACCATACGACCGTGAAGAATATGCATGTTACTATCACACACTTGTTGTATCTCGTATACGTTACGAATGTACACAAATGTCTCTTCTCTTACGACATGAAAAGGATACTTCTTGTATCATGTTATGAACTTGAGTGCTTGGAGAAACAGAGTTCTTCAGCAGCTGCAACAAGTCGGACAACCCTTCTTGAGACGGAGCCCAATCCATGTCCTCTTGTGGTTCGTATAAGTTAGTGCGTCTATCTATTGAACGAATGAATGTTGTATCAAAATAGAGCCTTTGTTCGAGCTCGTGGTCAGTCGGCTCGAAGCCTGGTAATAAAATATAAAGAAATAAAAAAAAATGAAGAAAATAGGGGTTCGCTGTTCGTTAGTCCACGTGCTTTTTCCCTCTTGCTTGAAAGAGATCGTTTTTTTTTTACTGGTGATATATAACTTGATAAGGCTTTTTTATAATAGAATGTCATACAAAAAATGCGCTCGTGTGACATGTCACAACCAAACCGGACGAAAATGTGAACACAACGCCACAAACAGATTTCAGGGGTTCGAATTTAAAACATGTTTAAAAAGGTTCTGTGTCGGTTTCTTTTACCGTTGAATCAATTGAAAGCGACAAGCACTTTGGTAATTGATCGAACAAGTCGGGTCGAGCTGAAAACATCCGTAACAATTTAGTAAATAACTATGCAATTTGAAATAAAATTTTGTGCATGCAACATTTTTCAGGGGGCCAATGTTCTAATTTGCAAGTTGACAAAATTTGATGCGATAATTTGTATTAATTCATCAAAGAGATCTCGATAAACGGGGTAGAGTCTAGTTTGTGTAATAAGTAATCGCGTAGGAAGCTTTAAGACTTTTAAAAAATGTAACCACGCTCGGTTATTAAGGTACTCTCAATACTCGTCAGTTAAATTTAGCGACGTTACAACCAAATTTCCAACACTCGTAGAACTGTCATCAAACAAAAGAGACTCTACAAGCTAACGTTGCAGTGAATTAGAATTCAAACGTTCTCGTAAAAACAACGCTCTCTTTGCATTGGTTCAGATTCAAACCAGTAAGAATGAACCATGTCTGAACAAGACAAGTCCGTTGATCCAAATGGCGAACAAGTACCGTCAGTCGATGCTAAATATTTTATACGTTTTTATTATTATCAACTGGGGTTTGAAACCTTAAAAAGTAGATAATAATAATTCAAACGTCCAATTTAGGGAATTTACTCACCTCCCCCAATAGACTAGTGTGTTTTCCTCTGATCGCTTTCATGGAAAAAGATCGCCGGATTGATTCACCATAACTTTTAGGTTTGCGTGACTGCGAAGACATATTTGTCAAAGTTCAATGCCAAAGGTCACTTGACGTGCATCATTATACGGAGCGCGCAGCAAGCATGCATGTGACATCACGTTAACGTTGGAATGGAAGACTTTTCCTCAGAACAAATACTTTTGAAAGCTACTACGCTTCTTGTTCTTTAACAGCCAGTTCGTGTAATTGACTATACTTACATGTTGGCGTATTCTTCAACTTGAAATTAATTTTTTTTACTTTCAAAATTCATAAAAAATTTGATAATATCGTATTTAATGGTCTAGAATACAGTATCTATCATCGGACTTTTATCATACTCCAACAGTTTTAGGAGCAATACATTGAAATTACTAGTTCAATTCTTCAAGTAGGCTATAGATTGCGTTTATTTCTTCTTTCCAAAGCTTGCATTGCCTTTTCGCTTAAATAAACATTACCAATGTAAATTTGCAATATTCTGTATCGGCGGCTTGCGTTCCCTCACTGCGACAATAGGGCCTTTAGTGTTGATGCCTAGCAATGACGTCAGTATACTTAGAGAATAATTTCCTTTTGCTAGACGAATGTCTTTTGTAGTGAGTGTGTGTGTTGCAAAAAAAGTTTTGAAAAAAAAAAAAAGATATACCTCTTCAGAGACGAAAAAACTTGTAAAGTGCTATTGATGAGAGACAATTCTTCGCCAAAGCAAATTTATAATTAACTTTTTTGAATTATTGCGAACAATAGTTAAACGGGTTGAAAACTTTGCATCTTTTTCCAGTTACTTTTTACGTGGTTGAAGTGACGTCACAAGTTTACTTGATGATAAAGCTCAACCAATGAACGTAAAAGATCTCGGCTTGGTGATCAGATAAAAAAAAGTTCGTTAGTTCGATTTGGATATATTAAAACCATGGCATTCAGACTCGTTAACTCTACTATTGGAATCGCTCCAAGACTAAACCAGACAGTATTAGGTTTAAAGAGTGGTGCTAACGTTAGAGCAGTGACCGTATTCCAAATTGCTAATTTTCATGCAAGTAAGTTATTCGAACGGTGAACACTTTCGGAAAGTGTGTATGTATGCTTATTGACTGTAAATGATCAGTCGAAATGGCAATGATAGTCTTATTATCGTCTTTACGTAATTCATATTTCTTTCGTTCAATAATATTCGGTCTTTTCCACCCAAGTCTTACTATCGTACAATTTTATTGTAAATAGGTCGAGCTGCTGGTCTTCAGACCACAAAAGTTGTCAGAGATGGTGCAAGTAATGTATCTGAAACTGCTCCAATTCATTATCGATTATTTTGATTATACGAGCATTACCATGTTATTCGAGTGATTCGATTTCCAATTCTTCTTGCTTAGTTTACTCTATCCCTCCCTTTGCCTTCTTATCATCTTGCTCTCTCCTTTTCTCCCTCTATACCGCTTACAAGGCTTTATAAAAGGCTCGGTGAATGATGCAGTAGTTCTTCCGGCAAGGGACAAATTCTTCGGTTCCTACCACTGGTTTTTTGAACGTTCGCTCTCCATTAGTCTCATTCCTCTTACTGCAGCCTCAATTGTTCAAGGTGCCCATCCGATCACTGACCTTCTTCTCGGCGTCGTGCTTCCCATTCACTGTCACGTTGGATTCGACGCTATCATCACCGATTATCTGCCTACTAGAAGGGCGCCCACGTTGCACAAGTTGAGTACTTGGGGCTTAAGAGGGGCAACATTGCTTGTACTTATCGGGTGCTATCAGTTTAACACTAATGATGTTGGGATGACTGAGTTGGTTAAGAGAGTCTGGCATGCTTAAAGTGAATCTGCTCAGTGACTCGTAGAGAGCGGATCGAGATTTTAAATAGGACGATCACAATGAATCGAGTGGTAAAATGAAGATATGTAAAAAGCTTGTTATTAATAGAATGCAAGGATTAGACATATTATTTATCATATATGCATGTGGGCGTTAATTTGAGGTTGAATAAATTCTGAAATTGCGATCGCGGTGAATTATTTTTATGCAATTCTCCCGTGATTCTCGGGTTTCAAAGCTACCAGATACATGTCATAAGCGCTAGGTAAAGTTGACCTAATTTCAAACAGCGTGACACTGGAAAGTTGCGACCACCATTTCTTGAGCAAATTAATCTTATATAGTCTGTGTTATTGAACTAAGAGACACGGTAATATAAGCGGTTGTGAGCATCGACTTACACTGTACAAGTACCCAGGTTCTACGTGTATAATGTGTGTTCGGCGATTCTTGTGTTAAAAGGAGACGCCCAGTAATATTGCCTTTGAAACAAGCCCTCTCCTCACATCAATTTGATGTAAGAAGATATTTTGCAGTAATGATTCAACAGACATTTTCTCGACTTACTAATAATATCATCTACTATAACGTTGTGTTTATACAACCAAGAGAACAACAACGTAAACGTGTTTTCGGATGTATCGATAGTTAGTCGCGTAGTAATTACTGTAGTGGATATTAGTACATTGATGAAATTATTTAGTTACAGGGGATTAGTCACAACATCCGTCAGTCATTCCAATGAGTTGACAGAGAAAGTAGATGGAATGCAGGTTTCCCAAATGAATAATCGGAACCAATGGCTTAAGAGTTACATTATGATCATTCCAATTACGCAAGCCCTTCGAAGAACCAAGCCTACTGCTTAGGTTGTGCATAATCGCCAGGTGCTTTCCGCCAACACACAATCAGTGGAACTGCAACGTTTGTTATCGGAACAGAAAAGCCACACCCAATGATTCAGTCAACCAAAGAAAAGCTTTCTTTGGTGTTCATCTTGACCTACAGTAATCTTTTTTACATAGACAGATAGGAGACGGAGTCACTTGAAAGAAATTTACTGTGAGTGCAAATAGAAATGTAACAAATGCCTGAGTTACTGCGACTTTTGATCTTGCGCGGCTTATTGTATATGGAGATTGGCACGTAATCGTAATACATAGATTATACACAGGGCATCAGCACAATATTTTAT